AAAAAGAATAAAATACTTAGAAACAGACTTAACTAAGGACATGAAAGATTTGTACAAAGAAAACTACAAAATATTCCTTAAAGTAATTAGAAGATATAAATAAATAGAAAGACATGGCATGTTCATGGACTGGAAAACTTAATATTGTTAAGATGTCAAAAAGACTACTCAAAAAGATCTATAGATTCAATTCAATCTCTATCAAAATCCCAATGAGTATTTTTGCAGAAACAGAAAAATCTGTCCTAAATCCATATGGAATCTCAACGGACTCCAAACAGCTGAAACAATCTTGAAAAACAAAACTGGAGATCACATACTTCCTGATTTCAGAACTTACTAAAAGCTACAGTAATCAAAACAGTGTAGTATTGACATAAAGACAGATGTGGAAGCCAATGGAATAGAATAGAGAGCCCAGTATGATCAAATGGTTGACAATGGTGCCAAGCCCATTCAAGGGGGAAACCGTCTTTCCGACAAATGGTGCTGGGAATACTGGATAGCCACATGTAAAAGAATGAAGTTTGGCCCTTACATCATATACAAAATATAACCGAAAATGGATGAAAGATCTAAACATAAGAGATAAAACTATACAATTCTTAGAAGAAAACAGGGTAAAAGCTAAGTAATATTGGATTTGGCAATGATTTCTTGGATAAGACACCAAAAGTATAAGCAACAAAAGAAAAAAATAGATAAATTGGATTATATCAAAATTTAAAAGTTCTGGGCATCAAAGGACACACATATAAGCAGAGTGAAAAAGCAACCTACAGAATGGGAGAAAATATTTGCAAATTATATATCTGATAAAGGTTAATATCCAGGGGCACCTGGGTGGCTCAGCTGGTTGGGTGTCCGACTCTTGATTTCAGCTCAGGTCATGATCTCAGGGCCCTAAGATTGAGCCCCGCATCTTGTTCTGCGCTCAATGGGGAGTCTGCTTAAGATTCTTCTCTCTTCCTCTCCCTCTGTCCCTCCCCTGGCGCATTCTCTCTCTTTCAAATAAATAAATATATCTTAAAAAAAAAAAGATTAATATTCAAACTATATAAAGAACTTCCACAACTCAATAACAAAAAACAAACCTGATTAAAACATAGGCAAAGGACTTGAATAGACAGACATTTCTCCAATGATACACAAATGGCCAATAAGCACATGAAAAAACGTTCAACATCAGTAATCATTGGATAAATGCAAATCAAAATCACAGCATCACCTTACATCCCCTAGGATAGCTATTCCTATTAAAAAAAAAGAAAGAGAAAAAACAGAAAATAACAAGTATTGGTGAGAATGTGGAGAAATTGTAATCCTCATGCATTACTGGTGGGAATGTAAAATGCTGCTACGGAAAAGAGTATGGTAGTTTATTTATTTTTATTTTTTTAAAGATTTTATTTTCTTGAGAGACATCACAAGCAGGGGGGAAGGGTAGAAGGAGAAGCAGACTACCCGCTGAGCAGGGAGCCCAACACGGGACTCTATCCCAGGACCCTGGGATCACGACCTGAGCCAAAGGCAGATGCTTAACTGACTGAGCCCCCCAGGCACCTGAGTATGGTAATATAAAATTAAAAATATAATTACCATATAATTCAGCAATCCCACTTCTAGGTAGATACCCAAAAGAGTTGAAAGCAGGGTCCTGAAGAGACTACTTATACACCCATGTTCAGAGCAACATTATACACAATAGCCAAAAGATGGAAGAAATTCAAATGTCCAATAATGGATGGATAAGCAAAATGTGCTATATACAATGGAATATTATTTAGTCTTAAAAAAGAAAAAATTCTGATGCTACAATATGGATGAACCTTGAAGACATTATGCTAAGCGATATGAGCCAGTCACAAAAAGACAAATACTGTATGATTCCACTTTTCCAAGGTATTTAGAGTAGTCAAAATCAGAGAGATAGAAACTGGAATAGTGGCTGCCAGGGCTGGAGGCAGGTAAATGGGGAGTTATTGTTTAATAGGTATAAAATTTCAGTTTTACAAGATGAAGAGCTCTGGAAATGGATGTGGTGATGGTTGCACAACCTTATGAATATATTTAATACCACTGAACTATACACCTGAAAGTGGTTAAGATGAAAAATTATGTATATTTCATGACAATTTTTTTTAAAGTAAGTATCCCCATTCTCCCCCTTGCCAAAAAGAGATAGAAGGTAAGAATTTTCTAAGATTTCTTAACCATTTTTCTCATGTTTACTTTGGCCATTCTTGTTTCTTTCTAGAAATTAGCCATTTAAAAAATCATAAAGAGGAAAATAAGAGGAATCAGTAGGTGAAACCTGTTACAACTTTTTTTTTTTTAATTTTTATTTATCCATTTGAGAGAGCGAGAAAGTACATGAGAAGGGGGAGGGTTAGAGGGAGAGGCAGGTTCCTCGCCGAGCAGGGAGCCCGATGTGGGACTCGATCCAGGGACTCCAGGATCATGACCCGAGCTGAAGGCAGTCGCTCAACCAACTGAGCCATCCAGGCGCCCCTGTTACAACTTTTTTATAGTATCTTACTGTATCTACCTGGGATGGTCCACAGCAGGCATTGATAATATAATGGTGTTGCTTCAGAAGAAGAGCATTATAATACCTAATACATGATCGCTAGCACATGTATTGCTTACTAGGTGCCAGAAACTCGTGCAAATGCTTTACATATATGAAACTATTTAATACAGTATGAAGTAGCTATTAATAGCATCTTTATTTTATTTATTTATTTTTGCTGGTGAGGGTGTTCTGTTATTATTATTATTTTCTTCTAGAAGAAGCGCCTTGGAGACTTTTTAGTCAGTGCCAGAGCCATGGCCAATAAAAGGCTTGCCACATAACAGGCGCTCAACAAAGCTTTCCTGGTGACTCACATTAAACCAGCATGCCTAGTGGGGTGACAAACTCAAACGCCTTAAGCAGCTGGGCAGTAAGTAAATAAGCCAAGTAGCGTCTATGCAGGCACAGAGGCAAACTGCAAAGCACCCACCCCACCTAAAAGAACTCAAATTCAACATTTTCAAACACATTTCACAGCTTGGCCTTGACAGCAACTTTGCAGCCTCTGCAGACTGCTGATTCTGGTTCTCCATCATACCACATGGTTGTCTTGCGCATCATCTATATCACCCTGTGATCTGGTCTTGTCTTTCTGCGGTAAGCATCCTTGCAGGGTTTTCCTCCAAATGCATCAAATATGCTTGTTCCTGAGCCACCTAGACAGGTGGTACTGATGCGTCCAGACACATTGCTCAGGGCACTGACCTAGGCCCAGCTCCTGCGCCCAGGTCTCGCCTCCCTTAATAGCATCTTTATTTTATAGATAAAGAATCTGATGCACTATATAGTTAAATAACTTGCACAAGGTCACCACCTTCGAGTGGTGAGATGGCTTTCAAATGGCATCTTAGATGGCAGTCTCCATCCAGAACTCATAGACTTAGTAAGTAGATCACATGACCTCTTTCTGAACATAGCACTACTCCCAAGCAATAGGAGGCACTCAAGATGAAAATTTTAGACTAAATCCTAAAGACAAAGCATGATATAACAATCTCTTCAGCATGGTAATGTTTTACATGAACAAGAGAAATTCATCTGAGCTTATCTCACCTTCTAGCATCATCTCCTATCCACCTGCCTAATAAACTCCCACCTCCTGCATCATTCCCTCTGTGAGCTATACCAACCTGTCTACAGTTACTTGATTAAAATCAAGCTGTTAACTGCCAAACCTTTGCACATGCTGTTCTCTTTACTTAAAACAATCCCTCCCCTCCTCCCACCATCTTCTTTGTCTGGCTATTCAGACTTCATTCAGTTGTAAAGTCTGGTCTGACAGTAAATCTCACATGCACCCCTGTTCTTCCTGTATGTTCCCAGATAACATATAGGAAGTACACATTTGTACGCTACAACATCTCTTCCAACTATTAACTATATATGATTCATTCTTATTCACAAGTTATGGCATATGGTAAGTGCATCCCTTGAATAAGTGTCTCCCGAGTACACTGGGGCATGCAAGAATACTTCTGGGGTTCATGTTTCAGAACCCATTAATTAAAGATGAGTCCATTATGATGAGGTTCTGCCAGAAACTACATTTACCACTGGAAAGTTCCAATATAGACCCACATACTATACTTTAGATTTAGGTGGATCATGTTTTAATGGCACCCCAGTGTAACGTGAAAGCTGTAAAGCACTGTAGTATTAAACCTATAGTTGCGGCAAGAAACAAATGTAATGCTAAGCATTTCCCACGCATGGGGAAAATATACTATGTTAAAGTCACAGAATTAGATAGATATTAATATCAAACCTTCAGTTTACCTTTAACAGAAAATTCTTTTATATGGAGTACATTTTAACACAATCACAAATAATATTTATATACTCATTCCAACCATAATAGCTGAATCCTCTGTACACTCATTGCACTTCATATAAACAGTTTGGCTCTTATTTCATTATACTGTAATTATCTGTTTACATTACATGACTCTATCTCTATTAGACTTCAGGCTCTTTGAAGGCAAACTGCCATTCACTTTTATGTCTCAGTGCTTGGTAGCAAAGATTCCCAAAGCTTGAAGAATAACTTAAGTAGTACTTTAAAGTCTATAAAGAATTCTGCAAATAATTTTCCAGAAAAAAATTAAATTTAGAGGTTATATAACTTGGCTGAGATCATAGAGCAAGTAGATAAATGAATTCAGAATTCAAATCCAGGTTTTCAATCAACAATTTCTATGCCCCTTCCAACACACCACACATATATTTAAATAACTACAAATTGTGCAAGTACTACATCCTGTATTAGTTGTCTGTAGTTATAAAGCAACAGTTCTATCATAACTCACAAAAAATTACAATAATAAAGGTCCTTTAAAAATGAAATCTCTGAACTGTCACACAAAGTTAGTAATCACGACTAGTCTCAATAGAATACTGCTATAAGTATTTTAAAAAAAGATTTTACCTTGTACTTCTTTATCATGATACTCCTTTAGTTTTGTCCAAATTTCCTTAAAGTCATTAGATATATCTACAGAACTAGGGCTTCCACAATTGCTTCCAGAGATGTTCATCTTGCTTAATATGCTCCACACTTCTTTTTGCCTAATGTTTCCTGACCTATTTCTGTTACATTATATAGGTATGAAGTTGTCTTTGACAGTTGAAATACCTGAAACGATAGATTACAACATAAATGAATTTTGCATTTATATGTATATAATTTGATGTCAGGATACCTTCAAGCCTAGCCAGCTCTTCTCAAGTTTTCCTTATTTACCTACAATCAATCACTTTGAGAATTTGGGGGATGGGAAGTGAAAATGATTATGGTGAGAACCCTGATTTCAGTTATTTGGTCCTTAGTTAAGCTAAATTTTCAGGCAAACTTTCTCTTATTCCTCCTAGAAAGAACTTAAGTTGAGATGATTCTGCTATGGAGGTTTGCAGTCATTCACGCTCAGTATTGATTGATTCACCATTCTAAATTAATTTATTCCTTTGTTAAAATTTTGACATGGAGTGCAACAAAAACTGGAAAACGTTCTGAAATACTCTTGACTTAAACAGTATTCACATATACACACATCTACATATTCATAGAAGCACAAATCTTATAAAAGAGCAAGAAAGATGATTGTGATTAATACACCTGAAGATCTGAATACCTTTCTCATAACAAGAGGAATAAGTGAGCAAGGAATAGGCACAATAAAGATCTATGAATACAGAAACGTCTAGTAATAAGGCAAAAAGGGTAAGGCTATTTTGTGCTCCTCTCAGAGTAGCGGTGAAATGATTTATTACTTGTGTAGCCCCAAAGGAAGCAACAGGATACTAAGAAGTTCAAGTGGATTCACAAATATTTTAATGTGTCCTTAAGCTGAAACCATTAACTAGCTACTACTAAGTCAAACAATTAACAAGTCTACTCTATCTTACATATGGCTCTTTAGCCAATGCCTTACCACTGCTAATGTGTCCAAACTGATTTAAGTGTCTCTTACAAACCATTTCTCAAGGTCTCTGATAATGAGGCTAAAATAAGCAATGACATTTTTTTTTTTTTAAAGTAGGCTCCATGCCTAAGGTGGGGCTTGAACTCATGACTCTGAGATCAAGACTCCTATGCTCAACCGACTAAGCCACTCAGGCGCCCCAGCAATGACATTTCTAAAGGAGCAAGATTATGACTGAAGCCACTTTGAAAAGCACTACAGAAATATTGTAAAAACACAATTTTATTAAGCTTTTTAAAAACTGTGATTTAGGTTTTTTTGAGACAGTGAAAACTGAACATGTACTGGATTTAAGATAATGTTAGGGAATTATTTTTAATTGTCTTGGGTATGATAATGTACTCATGTTAAAAAAAGGAAGTCCTCAGCTGTTAAAAAGATATATACTGATAAATTTACAGGTAAACTCACCTGTTCTGCATTTGCTTTCAAATACTCCAGCTAAAACAAACAAAAAATGTTGGGTAAGGAGATGAAACAAGAAGGGCTGCTTTGACAATTATTGAAAGTGAGTAATGGATGGGTTTGTGACAGAGTTCATAATTCTAGTCTCTCTCGTGTACATTTATTATTTCCATTATAAAGTTTTTAAAAGAGGGATTGGGTGCATGAATTAATACAGCTTTATTTCCAAAGAGGGCTGAATGCTACTATTTCTTAACCCTAAAAGATAATAGGCCTATTGTCAACAGAAGCCACCATTTGTTGTTCACTATATAACAGATACCATGCTGTTTTATTGTCATTTTTTAAAACTTAATCTTGAGAACTCTATAGAACAGCTACTGTTATTAATTTCATGTTAGAGTTGGAGAAACTGGTTTAAGAGATTAAGTGGTTCGCCCAAAGTCATACAATTAGGTCCCACACCATGTCTGCAGGGCAGGGATGAGGAGGGGAGGGGAGGGGGCCTCTAGTGATGCTAATTAACTACAAAATACTTTAGCCCAAGAAAAATAATTATTTCTATTAAGTAATAGTTTAAAAGTTTTAATTACTTTAATGAATAACTTAAAATTGCATAGTATGAAATTGCTTAAAACCAATAGTGTAAAACATTTTTAAATATATCTTCAGAGGTAGTATTAAAAAAAAAAAAGGCTTTTTCCCCCACTTAAAAACAGTTTACCAACACAAAACTAAACTTGCAAATTCTGGCTCACAAAACCCTCTCCAACCTATCCTGCACTCCCAGCACCTTTGTCAGAATCTCTCTTGGCTTGAACCGTTATCGATGCACGATGATGTGCCTTAATTTTGCAGAAATGGGCATCTTGTGTCGCACGGCGCATCCCGGGTTCAAAGGTCTGTAACAATTTAATACATTTCTGTGCGTCCCGTAGCGGTGTAAACCACCACACTGAAAGTGCTCAGTAAAATAGTTCTTTCCTGTCGCACCCACCACACATATTCTCACACAGATAAGGCAAGAGCCGCGCCTGGAGTCACACCGATGCCCGAGATAAACGAACTGGACTCGGGCTGGTCTTCTTACGAGCAAAGCAGAGGTCCACAGGCTCCCATCCCAGGACCCGTAGCCACCAGCCTCTCCCGCGCGCCGCTGTCACCCAAACGTTCCAAAAGCCTGCCCCGCCACTGGCGCGGGAAGCTCGCACCGCGCCCCCCGGCGCATGCGCGGGGCGGGCTCGGCGGCGGTAGGCGAGTCCTCAGCCCGCGCGGGAGACCAAAGAGCCACAGGGAGCGCAAGCTCGTCCTCCCTCCGACTCACCTCCAGCCGAGTTTAGCCGGGCCCCAGCCTGCTCCCTCAGGCAGCCCCAGAAGCCGCACGGCTACCACAGCTCCGGGGCCAAACGCGTATGTTCGGCCGGCAGCTCCAGACCGGAAGTAGCCGCTACGACCCACCGCTCCGGATTGAGGAAAGGAGCTTCCTCTTTACTCACGGCTTCCAAGATTGCCTCAAAGATTCTCGAAAGCCCCAGCACGGAAGCAGGCACGGCTCCGGGGCTGTGGAGAGGCAGCTGCTCGCCTTTCTTCCCCTCACTAATCTGCCTAACTCCCTCCGGGAAAGCCGGCCCCTCAGGGCGGCCCGCGCTTTCTGGGGGGTGGGGGAGGGCCCGAGGGCGGCCGGCCGGGCTGGGAGGCGCCCGGACCCGCCCCCTTGGAGCGCGCTCGACGTCACGCTGGAGTTCCCGCCACGTCCCGCCCCTCGTCCCGCCGCGGAGCGAGGCGCTGTCCCGCAAGCCTCTCGCGGAAGAGCGGGGAGGCTCGTGTGTCCCCACGCTAGGGGCTGTGATGGGAGCGTGGAACGCCAGCCGCTGCGCGGTCGGGCGCGGCGCCAGGAGCTGGCGGCCGCCGCAGCATTTTTGTTGAGATGCCCTGGAGAAAGCGCAAGCTTTTCTGTCTGGGGAACCTCAAGCCCCTGGTGTGTCTGACTTTAGCACCTTTTAGGAAAGCATGTAAGAGTGGCCAGTACCACATGGAAAGTTAAAACTAACTGATGAGGGAACGGACACGGATCAGTCTAACATAGTTTCTGCCTGGTAGCTATTACCTGCAGTTTAGTGATGTGACCGGACAGCACTGGGTGGTGAGGCCATGTAGCAAAACGATATGTATTTTGCTGAGGTTAAATGGAAAGTTCCTGAGGACCCTGAAATGAGACGGAATCAGAATGACCAGCATTATTTGTTGGAACGACAAGCTTTAAATTAGGTAATTTAATGTTTTAAAAAATAAACACTTCCTGTGGCTGTTTGTAAAGTTCAGAAAGTATGTTTTCTTACTTATTTTGATTTCTAAAAGAAGCGTTTTAGCACTAGCAATTCTACAAGTGAAGTTGAAAATAAGCAGAAGAGGCTAGAATCACAGTATCTTTTAATCCAGTTCAGTACTTTTCTGTAATATTTATACGATCTGGGAGGAAGACAGGATAGTATTATGAACTTTTAAAAGTTAAGTAGTATTTAGGAAATCATAAATATAAACTGTAAAGAATTTTTCCACTCAGTTCTGATGTTAAGGGATGAATATCAGAGCTTACTCCTTGAAATTGTACTCAACAGGATGTTTCTGTACCATTCTAGCAATGTTATAGGAACTTTGGTTTCTTCAGGGAAGAGGGTTGCTGAATCTTCATTATTATAGTAACTATCATTTGCTTCCAAATTTTACTACTTCATTCATAATGGGTGAAAAATTGCCATTTCTAATATAACAGGCATAATTGCTTGTATAAATGTTTAAAATGGAAACAGAGTTTTGTTATAAATGGAAAGAACTTGTAATCAGTTTGTCATTTAACAGTACATTGAAATAACAGTGTATTTGTGGTCCAAAGAAAAACTGTGAGAACAAAATGACCTAACCTGTTCCTCTAGCTTCTAAGGCTCCACTGTCCAATACATTTATACAAATCAGAATCCAAAGAATCAGCCTTGACACCTTTTTCCCCTTTAATCCCCATATCCAATCTATCACCAAGTGCTTTCAATTTTACTTGCCAAATAGATCCCAAATTAATCCTCTTCTTTCCTTCACCACCACGATATTACAAAATACCACTTTCTCTTACCTAGTCTGCTAGTCTATTTTCCATATCCACCCAACCAACAAACCACCTAAACCTTTCTCTTCACTGGTGTTCAGAAAAAAATTTGAGTATCTATTCTCAATTCATGCATATATATAAAATATAATTGTATACATGTAAAAAAAAAAAAAATAGGGGCACCTGGCTAGCTCAGTCAGTACAGTTAAGTGATTCTTGGTCTTGAGGTGAGTTCAAGCTCCATGTTGGGCGTAGAGCTTACTTAAAAAAAAAAAGATAAATTGTGTACATGTATTGTTGAAAAATGGTATATAGTCTAATGGTTAAGTCAGGCTCTGGAGACAGACTTCCTGGTTTTGAATCCTGCTCTAATACTTCCTTACCAAGTGACCTTGTACTGATTTTTTAACCTCTTTTTCTTACCTGTAAAAGGAGGTTAATAGTACCAACCATCCAGGGTTATGAAGAATATAAGTTAGTGCATGTAAACTGCATAGTACACTGTTTAGATACACAGTATGTGCTCAGAAAAAAGCTAGCCCTTATTAGTACTTCTGAGTTCTGAGCTAACTCACAACTTATAAAGACATTTTTTAAAAGGATGAGAAAAAATGGAAATCTAATATTTTTTCCTCCTCCCATCTTAAATTTTACCCACTTTGAGACCACTTCTTTACACTATAGCTACTGTGATCTTTCTGAAAAATAAATCTGATCATAGCTGCTTACATCCTTCAGTGGCTTATTGTTACTCTGAAGATAGCTCCTTTGAACTGCCTTCACTGCATCTCCAGGCCTCGCTGACCTTTTAGTGTCCCCTAGGTCTTTACATGCCTTTGCTTCTGTTTGGAATTATGAACCAAACCTACCCCTGCCCTTTGCCTAGCTATTTACTAATCTTTTTATCTTGTTTCAATAGTCTTTTCTATTAGCTCCTCTTATAGCACTATGTACTTTCCCATCTTGTACTTAGTAGTTTTAATTATTTAATTAATTCTCTCTATCCACTAGACTAAGTTTCTTGAGGTCAAAACCATGTCTTGTTTACCTTTTTTTTTGTTGTTTATTTTTTTGTTGTCATTCACCTTTTTATCTCCAGAAACTAACTCAGTGCCTGCCATAAAGTCAGTACTGTGTGGATCAACAAATAAATTGAGCATCCATTATGGAATTACTATTTTTTATGTAAGTGAAGAAAATCTTTGAATCCATGTAAAATTCTTAGATTCGCCACGTGAGATTTTATGATGGTCACTTTAGCAGTGGAAATGGTGGGCATACTTATAGATGTTCTCTCCCAGTGGGAGCTTTAGGCCCCACATGGTAGAATAAATTCTGAGGTCCCAAAGATATGTGAGAAAACTTTATGGCTTTGAACAATGCTTCCCAAACTTTTTCAATACTTAGAAAATGAATATTTGTATTACATATTGTAATAAAAAGATAAGGCTTCTTCCATCTAGAGACAGCAGAAGTTGAAACTCCACACCCCTCCTTCCCGGTCAGCAATGCCCCCTTGAGGGCTGGAATTTTTTTTTTTTTTTTTAAAGATCTTATTCATTTATTTGACAGAGACACAGCAAGAGAGGGAACACAAGCAAGGGGAGTGGGAGAGGGAGAAGCAGGCTTCCCGCGGAGCAGGGAGCCCGATGCAGGGCTGGATCCCAGGCCCCTGAGATCATGACCTGAGCCGAAGGCAGAGGCTTACCGACTGAGCCACCCAGATGCCCCTTGAGGGCTGGAATTTTAATGTCTTAGCATACCTATAACTCACTGGAGGCCCCTGGTTAGGGTGCTCGACTTAAAAATTGTGTGCTGAAATAATTAAAATGGTAAATTTTATATTATGTACATTTGTACATTTAACCACAATAAGAAAAATTGTGTGGTAGCAGTAAAAATTCTAGGATTCTTAGAACTGTAGAATTTTGGAATTTTAAAATTGTCTAACTCAACTAATTTTAAAACGGAAGCCTTTTGTTGATTCTACAATCTGCTTAACTCCTACATTTGGGTAGCTGAGGGTTGCCGAGGGAAAAATCACATAGCAGGTTAGACTGATACCACTAAAATTACATGGTTTCAAACCTCCTGTAAGGCATCAATTAATTCTTAAAATAGCCTTTGTTCAGCTGCTTTTGTTTCCTTTGCTGTCTTCCAGACCTTCACTATTTTCCTCAAGCTTCTGTACGGTATTTTCACTCTCAGCAGATACCCTAGCTCTAGGTTAAACAGGACAATTGGGGTCAACAGGTGTGATCTCCCTGCACATGCCTTTTCCTTTCTTAACCTGTGAATTGGGCAATACCTAATTACAAAATTACAGAAATGTAACTCGAATCCAGTTGCTTCTCCCCACCTCTTCTGCAGCCGCCCTGGGTCAAGCCACCAGCATCTCGAACCTCTTTTGCAGCAATAGCCTCTTTTTTTTTTTTTAAGTCAACTATCTTTCTACTTACACTGTTTACCCCTTACTGTGTATTCTCCAACAGCAGTCAGAGTAGTCCTTTAAAACTAAAGTCAGAGGTGCCTGGGTGGCTCAGTTGGTTGTGTGTCTGCTTTCGGCTCAGGTCATGATCTGAGCATCCCTTATGGGATTACTATTTTTTATGTAAGTGAAGAAAATCTTTGAATCCATTTAAAATTCTTAAATTCTCCATGTGAGATTTTATGATAGTCACTTTAGCAGTGGAAATGGGGGGCATACTTATAGATATTCTCTCCCAATGGGAGCTTTAGGCCCCACATGGTAGAATAAATTCTGAGGTCCCAAAGATATGTGAGAAAACTTTATGGCTTTGAACAATGCCATTGGGGTTGGAATTCTGGGATCGAGCTGTGTGGGGCTCCCTGCTCAGCGGGGAGTCTGCTTCTCCCTCTGACCCTACCCCCTGGTCGTGTACGCGCTCTCTCTCTCATTCTTAAATAAATAAAATCTTAAAAACAAAAAACAAAAAACGAAGTCAGAACAAGATGCTGCCCTGCTAAAAACATTCCAGGATCTTCCCATCACCTTAGAATAAAATCAAACCCTTTTCCATGGAGTCAGGACGAGTGAATCACTATATTATATTGGTGTTATCTCCTGAATAATAGTTTTGAATTAGTGCTTTCCTTTCAATTCCCTTATGCCCTTGTTTAGGCCCTGATATTTCTTACATAGACTATAGCCTCTTTGCTTCCAGTCTTCCTTGCCTTAATGAAGTCTCCACACAGTTGCCAGAAATCTACACCATTATTTCTGATCCTGGCATTTCCTTGCTTAAAACCCTTCAGTGGCTCTCCATTCCTAAATGTAATCAGTATAAAAAATTATTCATGAGTACAGCACAACTCAATTTGGATTAGCTGCGTTTCAAGTGCTCAAAGCCACATGTGACTAGTGATTACTATATTGGGCAGCACAGGCCTAGCATAGCATATGTAATGAACAAATGAATGTCGAATGAACAAATGAGGTTACATGGTTTACCTGAAGAACCAGGATGGAGCTAGGACTAGGACACAGATAACTGATTCCTAGACTGAGGCTATTTCTGCTGTTTGTGCTGGGCATTTCTCATCTCTTTCCCACTCCCCACATCATCCCATTCCTCTCCTCCCACCCAGCATTAAGG